TTTCTTGTTGTCAAAATAGTCATTTTTCACTGCCACACAAAGAAAATGTCTTAAGGTACCTTAGGTTTGTGAACAAATCTGAGAACTTCAGCCTTTTCTGGGAAAATACATTCTCAAGTTAGAGATTAAAAGGCAAATAACAATTTAATAAAACATTTTTCTTCTTCAATATTTTTTAGGACACTTGCTTTTAGTGTCTAAAGTGAAATTATTTTTAAAAAATGACAGAATGAAGGAAATTAATTTGATCATGTAGGGAAGGAAAGCAACAGCAAGCTAAGGCTGTGGTGTCTGGTAGAGAAAATAATATTTGACATATAATAGGACTACGAAACTCATTTTCTCTCTTCCTTAGGCTGCAAAGTGTTAAGCTTTAACAATAATATTTTCTAGCTGGCTGCTCTTTTCAAAATCAATGGTATTTGAAATAAGTTAGCACTACAGCAGCTTCACGGGAGAAAGATCTGACAATCTATTCTTGTAAAGATTACAGCCTAGAAAACCCTATGGGACAGTTCTACTCTGTCACATGGAGTCACTATAAGTTGGAAGTGATTTGAGAACACCTAACAACAACAACAGACCTGAAGAGACATTCTGCAGCCTCACTGGCTCCTAATATAAAGTCCTGTCAGCTGTGTCCACTTGACACACCTAGTCAACTAGGCTTATAGGAAAGGGCTTCATTCTTTAAAAAAAATACTATCACTGAGCTTGATGGAGAGGTTCTGCAAAGTTACAGTGAGCATAATTTCTAACCCAATAATATGTAATCAGCTCTAAGACGAAAGTTAGTATTTCTTTTATCTTTAGGGGTATTCCAGGGATTATTAACAAGCAGTAGCAAAAGAATTTCTCAAGTAGGAGACTTACTGCAAAAACAGAGAAAAAGACAGAATAGGAAGAAGACTCACAGAGATCTAAAACAGCACAGTCCAATACAGTGGCCACTAGCCATATGTGACTAATTACATTTAAATGTAAGTTAAAATAAAAATCAATAAAACTGAAAATTCAGTTCCTCAGTTACACTAGCCACATTTCAAGTGCTCAATAGCCACATGTGACTAGTGGGTACTATATTGGACCGCACAGATATAAAGCATCTCCCACATCACAGAGGTTCTACTGGATAGCGCTTATCTAGAAGCTAAAACCACTAGTTCCAAATGTGAGACGATTACCAAATGAGGGAAACGGAAAAAACTGTGCAGTCAAATAAAGAGCGCCCCCTAGAGGCTGCCTCGGCAATCAGATGCATTTCAAAAGCATAAACAGTAGCTGCATGCCTTTCAGTGCAAAGGAAAGAGGATGTGAGGCTAACGCACTCTCCAAAGATTTTTGAAAGAGGAGTTCTAGAAATTAGGAGAAAAGGCAACAAAAAGAACATTGGAAAGAAACTGTGACCTGAGTGACAGATAATAGTTTCAGCTGAGTAGCCCTATCTCCTCTACACCTCAGTGTTGTCATCTATAAAAACAGGGGGTTCAACAACGGGATTTTTCACAAATAGTGTGCCCATGTAAATAAATAAGACACCCACACATGTAATCGTCGGAAAGGACGGAATTATGTAAAATAAAGTTCTGGCATAGAGTGCCCATGCATACACTGTGCATGTCTCCTGACATTTCCAGAAGTGAATTTCAGCCTCATTTACCCTCCTGAAAATGTTACTTTTGATCATATTTGTATAATAAAGGGATAAGCCATGGTCAAGAAGTCATGGATTGAGTTGGGTAATACCCCAGTAATCGGAAAATAAACAACTGAAACTGTGCGTTTGCTCTGGGGCAGTTCGTGGCGGGGAGTGAGAGCGGTGGAGTTCCTTGCAGCTGATCTGTGCCCAGGTAGGTTGTGCGGGGACTGCCGGAGGGTCGGCGGAGGGCTGTGTGCGGCACGTGGAGGCTGTTGCTCCTGCTTACCGGGTACCTCCGTGCTGGCCCCACGTGAAGCAGGGCGGCAGGACAGTGCAGGTGCAGGCGGCACTGCCCTGACCCCAGGGGGCCCCCGGATGGCCAATAGGGCACGTCTCGTCCGAGCAAAGGAAGCTCGATCCCCCTGCGCACGGGGCTCGGGCTCTTAGCCCGCCCAAACGGCCAAGTGCAGCCACCAGACAGCAGGGTTGCACCTCCTGGGCTGGGGGCTGGCCACCCCGGCGAGGGCTGCTTCCAGGGCAGAAAAAGTTACTTCTTCCTACATTGCAAAAAGCAGTTTGCAGAGCAAGAAAGGAATCTTGCCTGGAAAGAGGCTGCTTTAGAAACTCAAGGGTAGGTTGGTGATGGTCTGTTGCTGGGAACCAAACCTCGGTGTCAACAGGCACCAAGATGAAGAACTATTAAATCCGTTGGACAGGAAAAAAAAAAGAAATTGAAGTCAGCAATATGTAAAAAATATTCATATAGCACGCTTATGAAAATAATGTGCAGGGGGTTGCAACGTATGCAAAAACATATAACGTGTGTTATCTGTGTAAAAATATGGTAGATGGCCCCCAGGTCAATAATTTTAGACTTTTAACTTTCTGATCTTATTTGTACATAAAAGAATATGAGGAAAGATGGCTAACAAAATAATTTTGCAGGGTTAGCAAGGTTAAAACTAAAATCCAACTGGGTTAACTCTAGGTGTACTAACACTGGCTGCACACTAGAATCCCCTGGGTCACTTAAAAAATACATCAAAGCCTGTGCTCTGACTCACACCAACTGATTCTGAGCCTCTGGAGTAGTGCCCAGAAATCTAGAGTTGTTAAAAGCTCCCCAAAGTGATTCTGATGCACAGTGAAGGTCAAGAGCAAATATACTAGAATATAAGTGATTACAGACTTCAGGCAAGAAAAAATAATAGAAAACACTTTCCTTTCTCGTCAGGCAACCAAAGCTACATCCACATAGATTGCACTGATGAGAGGAAGGCTATGTAAGTTACAAATTATTTCAATTTGATTTTTATGATATAGAAGAACATCAGCCTGAAAAAGAGCAAAGGAGACAATACTGAATTCTTACAATAAGAATTTTGAAATGAATTCCTATGTATTAAAAAATGAATCCCCTGGAGTAGGCAGCTGTCTGTGAGATGGGACTATAAGGGCAGAAGAAACACACTACCTCGAAACCTTTCCAACAGTAGACTGCCAAGGTGATCCATCCTTTACTACCTGTCACAGAATAAAGAAGAAGAAAAAAAAACCTTTAATGATTCATAGGTAGACAATAAAGTGGGAAGGTGAAGGCGGCAACCATTTCCCAAAAGCCATTAATGAAGATGATGGCTAACATTTACTGGCATGCTCTGTTTTAAGTATAAATATTTTACAGATATTATCTCACTGGATTCTCACAATAATTCTACAAAGTATATACTATTACCATCATTTTATGGTTAAAGAAACCAAGACACACAGAGGCTGGAAAACTTGCTTGAAGTCATGCAGCTGGGAATGAAAGACCTAGGATCTAAACCCAGAGGGTTTCTTCCAGAGCCTGTGCTCTTAACTAGCATGCTATAGTGTCTGTCTCTCTTGTTGTGTTGTGTGTGTGAGTGTCTAGGACTGAATGAATGTAAGATGGAGATGCAGATTACCTAGAAGAGGAAAGGAAGGGGGAACAGAGGACAGCATCAGGGCAGTGGGTTTGGGACTACAGACTGAAGGATGGGAATCTGAGATACATACCAAAGGGAAAGGGAGATTACAGATTTTTCCAAAATCTCTTTGTCTGTACTGTAATGTATATACCACATCTCTGAGAAACAGATATTAGGTGAATCAAGCAAAGAACAAAGGAGAAATACGAGATACTAAACTAACTTAAAATCCAGGGCTAGGGAGGAATAAGATGAGCTAGGTGTAGAGACTCTATTGAACTCTGCATTAATCCAGTAATATTCAGAGGGAAATAAACAGCTTTACCTGAGGGGCAGAGGTTTTTCAGTTGATTAGGAAAGTACATTCTGTCTAGCAAAAGACAGTTAGAATACATGAATAGATAGCAGGAACATCACAGTCACCCCAGAAGTATATCCCAAACTGTAAGCAAATAAATTGACGTTCTGGTTTATAAACTCAGTGTGAGTTGGTGTAGGTGAGGGGCTAAAACAGCTTTGAGGTCTCTCAGCATGACAGAGCAGAGGTAGCGCAGCATCTCAAAAAGCCCAACCAAATTCATTCAAAGGCTAGCCGACCAAACTCTCCAACGCTCCCCACACCTGATTCTGGACACATACTTCAACGTTTCTTCTCACCTAAACATCTTCCCCAAGTAGAACTGACAGGAGTTCCAATAAACCATATTTTGGCCTCACTGTTACTAAACCATGAAATGAGCATGCAGCAGATAGGGGAGGGGCTAAAATAAAGGGGCCTTGATGATCCACACACTAGACAATAAGTCTGGCAGTAAATTAAGGGTTGGCTACAATCTGGGATAAAAATAAAGCTGTACTGAAGAAAAAAAAAAGGCACACATCAGGGTGACCTTATCACTTCTTGCTTTTACTATGCATTGTTAAACAACAAACATAACGAGTCAGCAGGTATACCATTACAGGGACCAAATATAGCCTTTTTAATTATGTCAACCAAACATAAAAGCAAGATAACCTTGATTTATAAAATGGCTATCTTGTTCTGATTAAGTGTTTTGTACAAGCAGACTAAACCTATCATTGGGATCTAGAGCTTCTCGTGAGTATGCTCAGGCCTCAGAATGGCTGTGGCAAGACTAACATAATAAGGGACTCATTTGAAAAAGATGACATATGAAAGATTTAAAGCATTTTCCAGCTTATGAGGAATTTTTCCAACTCATAAAAGTAAACTCAAGCCTCTTTCTTGGCAAGACAAGCTACTAAGCAATAAGGAAGACCTCATAGTGCATATCTGGACAAGGAAAGCAAGTAGTTGAGAGCCTTCTAGAGACAGTAAAAGGTAATACACTTTCATAGACACTGGAATACAGATAAGAAACAAGAATCCAAAACTTTTTAAAGGATACGGTCTGTACCAGGAAACAATGTTCTTCCAGTCAACAGCTCGGCCATTATGCATCCCACTGACCAAATATCAACTGGCAAAATTAAAGAGACATAAAACTACAATGTCACTATTATTATACTTGGCCATAAATGGAACCATACCTAAAGGTGAAACACTTAAATTAATATTTAAGACATGTGAAGTTCAATAATAATAGTCCTTCTTTTTTTCCCACCCCTAGAAATAAACCAGCTTATAAGACCTTCACTCCACTAAAGGGCTTCAAAGGTGGCGTAACTCAAAACATATTTAAGGCAAAAGAAATAAGTTGTTCACAAAGGGGCAACAGTTTTTTATTGGTAAAATGGTGGATTTTCCCTGGGAATATTGAGGGGCTGAGATTATTAACCCATCGTCTTCAGGTAGAGGTACTCAGAGAATATGTTGAAAATCTGAATAAATAAAAACCCAATTGCTAAATCAAAAAAATTGAAAACTGTGTATAAAAGCCCCACTTCTCCTATTTGAACAACTGAAATATTTTCTATTTGTAGGCTTTACAAGGATCACTGAGGGAAGAAAAGATGTTCCTCCCATTTCCACCATCTCCACTCCTAAGAATACTAAATACACCCCACATGGTATCAAGGCACTGAATAATCAAGACAAGCAATACCTGTCTGGTTGTAATGCATCCAGTTCAGCATGATCTCAGGAGCCCTATACCACCTGGTGGCCACATAGCCTGTCATTTCGTCATCTGTATGCCGAGCCAGTCCAAAATCCAGGATCTAAGGGAGAGAAGAAAAATCAGACACTGGAACAGACAAACTGCTAAGATTTGTAAGCAGGCAGGAAAATAATTGTGGTATCTTATAAAAAAGGAGTGCAATAAAGCACTTCCATACACAGATTCCCTGGTCCTTGCTTGGAATGCATGGTAAACACACAGCATGAAAGTTTAAAAAATAAAATTACAAAAAGCAAAATAAAAATACTACTCCTAAGTATTTACTCAAGGGAAATGAAAACACGTCCATACAAAGACTTGTACATGAGTATTCATAGATGCTTTATTTACAATAGCTCCAAACTGAAAACAACTCAAGTGTCCATCAATGGGTGAATGAATAAGCAGACTGTGGTATGTTCATAAAATGAAATACTACTCAGCAATAAAAAGAAATAAGCTATTGATACACACAGTAATACAAATAAATCTCAAAAACATTATGATAAGCAAAAGTCAGACACAAAAAAATAAACTGATATGATTCTATTTATATGAAACTCAAGAAAAGATAAAGTTCATCTATAGCATCTGAAAGAAGATCACTGGTTACCTAAAGCCAGGATTAGGGGTAGGGAGCACAGTGGTGGACACATGGATAACTTGTCAAAACGTGCACTTAAAATGGTGCATTTTATTATATGTAAATCAGATTTCAAAAAAGTTGAGCAAAAAACAAAACAAAACAAAGTTTCCAGAGCTCCTTGCTCTTTATCAGCAATTAATTCACTTATCTCAGATTTGAATTATTTTGAGTGAGTAGATTTCAGGCATGTTTTTTCTTAGGAACCTGTTTAATAATTCTCTCTTCAGGACTGGGATTGGTTACCTGATATTCAGAATATAATTTTCCTTTATTGTAACTTCTGTATTAAATTTCTAATTTAACTTTATTTTAAAATGAAAACAAGTCACCTGATAATACTTTCAGTGTCACTTAAACGGCTTACTAAATTCTCTATGGTTTAAATTTCAAAATCTCATATTCCTAAGGACAATATGATTTTCAGATAAAAAGCTGTAGCTTTATAAACCCATTCCCTGTACAGGTTTGCCCGGCTGGTCAAACATACAACCTCAAACATGTTACTTCCACTCATTCAAGCTCTCTACCTATTTTCTGGTTGGCACTCTGGAAGATCAATAAGCAAACAATCACGACTGTCTCTTCAACTTACCTTCAGCTCACAGTCTTCATTCACAGCTAGATTACTAGGCTTTAGGTCCTAGAAGGCAAGTACAGAGAGGACAGGGTCAATTTTAGGATGCGCGGTAAATTCTCTCCCTACAGGTAATAGTGAGGACCCAGGAGGGGTCTACCTTCCATGTTCGAGATACCTTGGTATATAAAATTAAGACTTCAACTAGCTGTCAATACACAATCTCCATCCTATAATCAGTATCTAGTCCTAACTAGCCTTAAATAGACACATACTATACATGTTCATTCTTTAATCAGTTTAAACCCAGAGCAAAGTTGCAATCAACCAAAATTTCAGTGGCTAAAGTAGATTTAGATTAGAATCTTGGCATTCTTCTATCCCACCTCCCCCCCAAAATTTAATCAGTCACAATACATACCCTGTGAATTATGTCGGCTGAATGAATATACTGTGAAAAAGAAAAAAAGTCAGTAAAAAAAAACAAGTTTTCTCTAACCTCCCACTGTCATATAACATACTTGCAGCACATTTTCATGAATTAATAAGAACTGCCGTATTAACAGTGGGATTAGAAAGGAGAACAAGTAATTATTCTGTACATTTATCATAACTGATTTCCACTCATTTGAACTCTCTAACCTCTTTTCTCATTGGCACTCTGGAGCTCAAAAAGGACTCAAAGCTGCTAAATATCAAAGATGGTTTACTTTTAAAACACTGTATCTGTCTACCCCACAAACAAATTAGCTTCCTTGGGGATTTTTAAAAATCTCAACACCATACTCACCAGATATTAGATTATATCAAGAAATTATTATTAATTTTTTAGGTGTAATAATGAAGACTTTTATCTTGAGATATACATACTAAAGAATCTATGGATGGAATAATATGATATCTAGATTTGCTTTAAAATAATTTGGGGGTTGGGAAAGATGAAATAAACAAGATTGGCCATATGTGGATCATTGTGGATGCTGACTGAATGTGAGGTTCATTATACTATGATCTCTGCTTGTGATTTTGTGAGGCCCTAAATGGAAAGGTAGAAAGGAAAGGAAGAATTCATTCCTCAACATTATTACTGACACCATCTGTACCTTTAGGCCTCGGAGAATTTGGTAGATAAGGAACTGTACGTGGTCATCTGTAAGCTTCTGACATTTCACAATGTTGTTCAGATCTGCGCCCATGAGATGGGTCACCAGATACCTAGAAATTAATGAAGAGTTACACAATAATCCAGAACCCCTAAGAAAGCTCTCACTCACCTTCACAAGACTTTCAAAAGTTTTTAAAGTACTTACTAACCCAGTAAGTACCACAATATCAGCTAAAAGCTTAATAACTACTCATGAAGGACTTATTACCAACACACTATTCTAACTTTACCATCAGACATCTATCTTTCTAAAAATGATTATACTTGTTTATACTTGGAGTATCTTTTCCCAGGCTCTCTAATGAAAAAGAAAGGTGAAGATCAGAAAGATATATTTGCTAGTATCAGTTTTCTTAAAAATGTCATTATTACATGAGAAATATACAATATAACTATGCATATGGCCATAGTAAAATATCCTCTATTTTTAAATTCACCATTCCATTTTCACCTCAATATAAACCTTCCGAGCTATAGGTTTTAAAATAGGAGTATCTGTAAACATTCAAACTATAATTCTCCTTTTTCAGGAATGACTGGTAAAGATACTGTTCATGGACAGCATTCCTACATTTACCTTAAAAGAGAGAAACACATTTTATCTGTAGACAAGATGAAGCATTCCAGAACTTCTCCTTATAGGTGTGGTGCTGGTTATTAATCTCATCTTTATGTGGTAAGATTAGGGAATGATTACATTCAAGTCCAACAGGTTCACCACAGACATCCTAGATACAATGCCTTAACCCATTCATTACTGTATTACACAGATATGAGAACATAAAAACCAGATCAGTATTAAAGAGGCTAAATTTTAAAAAATAAGGATAGGTTTTATATATTGTATTAAGAATTATTCTCCATTCCTGAGGTTGGGTAATAATATATGTCAGATGAGTGATAAAGAATGATGATTTCATTTTACTTATATTTTTATTTTTTATAAACATCGGGGAAAAGAAACCAAGCCAGTAAATTTCTACTATTAACAAATTATATGAATAAGTATGTGACCTCTCTTTACACTCACA